GAGCAGCTTGCAGAGTCATGCAGCCTTGAGCCCAAGGAAAACTGGCCAGAACCCACTGAAATTATGGGGAGTCTTTCTTTTTGGAGTTGCCCTGATCCCTAAACAACCTGCTGCACTTGCAGTCTATAGTACTAAAAAGAAAATACTCCTTTTAAAGAATTTGAACTTACGGTTTTAGAACCGTGACAAACTGGCTGTGCTTTCTGAGTTAGAAAGCTTGCCAAACTCATGAGTGTTTAGAAGAGCTTAAAGTCAAATTAAAAGGTGGAGAACTGAACACTGAGTTAAAAAGATCCAGAAAAATAAAGGCAGTTAAAAGAAGAGCAGCGTGGAGAAGTTTCTGTCTAATGAACCCTCTATTTAGATGGAGGAAAGGATCCCCTCGGTGCTGAGGGGTGTTGGGAAGAAATGTACAAATTCATTTACTTTCACTTCCAGGAAACCGAGCGGTGCGGAGCTTGCTTCCATCTAGGAAAAAAACTGAAATAAGCATGAGAACCAGATCCAGACTCTAGGCTCCTCCTCCTCGGCACTGTCTGATCATGTCTTGGGTATGATCAGGGACAAATCATGTTGAGGATACCTATTTCAGACCATCTGTGACTCTGGGTAGTTAAGAGATATGGGAAAGTATCATCTAAGCAGATGCCTTAACTTTGTATGACAAATTTCAGCCTGGACTAGTTTTTTCCATACCAGTTATAAACCCTTGATAAGCTGTGTTTCTCCTATGTTAGCATAACCATTATAAATGGCAGTGGCACTATGGGCACTGCTATAATAATGACACCCAATTAAGAAAAATGTGCCTTCTTAAAATCCTGTGTTATGGATTACTTCTATTTAGATTCAGGGCATCATATGGGAGCTGCACTTCTGAAAACCAACAATATCCATTTTAATATATCATTGTAGTGGTTAATATCCTGGTATTTAAGGAGCTCAGAAAAATGATGCACATTATTATGATGGGTGAGAGTGTAAAGTTCTGAGTAGGACCATACTTCTAGGAGGGCATGTTTTGATTAATTGCTATCTTGAGTTTCCCAGCAGATTAAGGGCACGTCCTGCTGAGGCACACCATAGATATGCTGATCACTGGAAAACCAGAGGGGAATTTGGCAAGGATTTTTTTTTTTTTTCTAAGAAGAAAATCAGAAATCATTTTTAGTAATAGCATGGTGTTGGCCCAGTACTGTACTACTGATGTCACTGGGAATGTTACCACCAATTAAGCTAATCTTCTGACAGCCTCATTTATGTGTACCTTTCATTGCTTAATCTTGGGGCCTTTTCGCCATGTAATTACAGCTTCCAACATCTATAAGAGAGAGCTTTTATTACACTCATTTTACAGGAGAAATTGAGGCACAGAGAGGCAAAGGTCCAAAGCCCCCTGATTCAATTAGTCTTTCCAGTGATCACAAGTGTCTCTGGATGGGGCCCAAATACAGCATGTCCTGGCAGAACCCAGGGGTCCTGATGCTTGATTTACAGCATTTACATTCTTAAAAATACTGACCGGTGGTTCTCAACCTTTTCTGACTCCGGGCACCCCTCATTAGCCTCCAGGCAGCCCTCCAAAAAGGCCAGCTCTTAGCTTTCACTTGTTTCTTGATTATGCAAATATAACAGAGCACCTTCTCTGTTTCAAAGATCTCAGAAAGCACTCAATATGTCTGCAAGTTTTTGGCACTGCTGGTTTCCTATTTGAAATGACTGGACTTGTTGCATGAGCCATATGTAGATGTTTCTATACGAGGCAGTAATATTGCACACCACCCTGTGGTACCCTTAGAAGGATTTCATGGCACCCCAGGGTGTTGTGGCACTCTGCTTGTGACTTGCTGACCAATACAGTATTGCTAGTAGCAGTCATAAAAGGTGCTCCCATTGCTTCACATCCTTGAGGAGCCCAGCCCCTTTCAGGGAACCAGATCTTTTTGAAAGGGTTGAATTTCCTTGAAAGTTTTCTCTGATTCCAGATTCCAAGGAAGACAGATGAAGGGCCTCCAAATACACTGAGGGATTTCACAGTATCTGCTTGCCATATAAGAATGTGAAAGTAAAATAAGTTTGTGTTTTTTGTTTTTTCTTACAAGATCAAAATGAATAAAGAAAACAATTGTCCATTAATAGCTAATGCAAGGAGCTAGCATTGTGTGGAGCATAAAACTGAGAATATAACCTTGATCTCTTGAGACCTAGTTCAGTACCTTAGCTCCATAGTGGTCATTGTTTCCCTTGCCTGGGGTCAAAAGCATCTGAGAGATCTCCCTGTTCCTCATTGCTCCTTGTCCTAAGCTACAGTGTACTGGCAACAATATAGGCCTAAAATAGAGATCCAGGAGCTAGTCCTGTTGAAAGACACTTTCAGTCTTGCTCTAGACCTCAATGGGAGCAGAATTAAATTAGCATGGCTAAGTTGGCTATGGAAATTTTTGAGGAATGATCTTTAAATAGATTCCCCCCCCCCTCCCCCTAGAGAATAGGGTGTAAGATGAGTGATAAAAAACATTCAAAAGATCTGTTGGGTGAAGTGAATGGATGTAGCTGTCACAAAGAGAGATGCTGAACCACATCACTTGAGGATCTGACCTAGTCCTATATTGCCACCTGAGGAAATTTAAGATGCCAGTCTAGACAGTCTGGCCAGGATTATACTTCTAGACGTTGACCTCCTGAAGGCCAGTGTAATAATATCATGCAACAGGACAGTTTTCCTGTGCTTACCAGATGGGCCATTAAATGTACAAATCATCTAAGAATCCCTTAGCAGCAAATATCAACAAACTAATCAAAAAGCAATTAACCTGTTTCTAATATTAATTAGAAATGATACAAGGAGGGGTGCCTTAAGGGAGCAGAGACTCAGAATTCTTGCAAGGCAGGATTACCAGCTTTGTATCATGCTGTGATATGTGCAAGGGTTGGAAGGGGCAGTTTGGGGGAATTCTTGGGTAAGTGGTTGCCTGCGAATGTAGAGGACTGTACTGTATAGTCCGGAAGGACCCTCTGTTTCATGTTCACATGTCCAGTATCTTGGACATGTAAAGGTGGCCATATTGTGCTTCTCCTCTACAAAAGGGGGTGATAAAACTCAAAGCAGTTTCCACTGGTTCATATGCTGTCAGATTTTTTCAATAGGATTTTTAGCCACTGAACAAATGCTTAGGGAGAAAGGGTATAAAGCACTAGCATTATGTATTTCTGTTTATAACGTTTGTGTTTATTTTGCCAAATATTCTAAAAGCCTAATAAAATTAATGTGATTGGGCTATGCTGACATCTTTGTTGTATGGGAATCTGGATGGAGCAATTAAAAAATTATCTGGGTGTACCCAGGAGTTCCCATTTCATGCTTGGCAAGCTGGTGTTGTAACATGCCAAATTCTCCTGGCTTTGTATAATTGCCAGAATTCATTGCCCTTGCCGGGGGATAAAACTCAATGTAGTACATTTTTCAAACTCATTTAGTCCGGGCCTGATTCTTGATGGAACCAGAGAGCAGGATCTGGCTTTGTTCCACCTGAATTAATACAGTTTAATATCCTCTTTGGGAGAATGGATGTCTGAGTAAGTGCAATTAGCTGATTCAGTCTTGCTTTTAAAGGGATCACAGCTCGGGCTGGAAGACAATGTATAGGCAGTTTTACTATTTAAGATGAAATTCTCCATGGTCTGCCCTAAACAGCTGGGTTTGATCTGTACACGTGATGGGCTGCTAGATCTCTCAGTAAACTGGTGAATTGCTTTCCTTTGTCAAAGCAACAAATTGAAGCACTCATACATGCTGCGCATATATATCAGAACTATTTTAATATTAATCAATGCATAGATCTATATGCATTGATTAATATTAAAATAGATATGGTATATGGGTGTGTGTACGCCTAAAAGAGGGAGGAGGGAAAAGCGTGTTGGGTGTGAAGCCATTGGTCCTTAGTAGGAGTTAGCACAGAGCACTGCACAGTCCTCTCAGTTCAACTTACTTAAAAAAAAAAAAAAAAAAAAAAAAAGTCAAGTGCATGGTGTTGGCCCTTCAGATCACTTTGGGCTTGTCGGCACTGTGACAGCAACAAGTCCAAGCATGCAGAGCCCACCAGTGCCTGCAGCCATGCGCCAGACCCAGAAGTATGCTGAAGAAGCTGCACCTCCTGTTATGCCTGTTGGAGAATGAGGGCTGGAGAGCAGGGTTAGAAGAACAAGCCTGGAGCAACCTCCCAGATTCGGGGTCTCCTGTATGCCTGCAAGTGTGGATGGGTGGGGCCGGCTTGATCCCTGTTGGTGCTTCAATTCACTGTTGCTGCAGTGTGGACAAGCCTGAAACCAGGAAACATAAAAGACCAAGCAAAGGTCTGGGATGAAGACGGTGATGTATAACTCCCCCCTTCAGGCAAAATAGAACAAAGCCTCCACCCAAATAAAGCAAAGCAAACGACTGCTCTGGACACACAATCCTCCCTTGAAGGGATGACAAGAGAAAGAACAAACATTGCATGACAGATGTTAGTCATGTTACTTAATGGACTGGAAGGTGCTCAGCTACTATGGTTACAGTAGCACTCTACATAGAACAGAATAAACCTTCACCTACAACAAGCCTGCGTACTGTAGCGATTAGGATTCATTAAGCGCTTACTAGTTTTGATGATCAATCTGTTTTTACGCATGCAGTGTCATTATTCTGAGGGGATGGACAAAGTGGCCGGGTAAAGAATCCCTGGGTCTCAAAGAAAGAATCAGTATTGCCACTGGTGACTGCCAGCTCGGTAGAATAAATGGGTGGCTATGAGGTCTTCATCACAGTGGAGTAAATTTTACTGTGAAGTATAGGGATGTAGTCAGTCATGTGGTTTCCATTAAAATTATTCTTTCAGACTCCTTCACCTCTCTTCTCTCAAAATGCACTTCTCAGTGTCACTAATGCACCTGATAGTGACATGAGTCATAGATGAGAAAGGCAGGCAGTAACCTTCATTGCCTGAAGTACTGTATGTGCCATTAATAACCAGTTGCTAAGAAGTGAAAAAGCACTTAGTCAAGAACAGTGAAACACTTTTCTCTGTGCAGGAGGTAGAAAGGTGATAAAACTCCTTTCATGCAAGGAAGCTTACATTACCTTGCCACTAGATTTTTGTTTGTTTGTTTGTTTTGTTGAAAATGCCACTGTATAACTTCATGGTCTTTCTGAATCCTGTTGTACCCTCTGCCATTGTATTTTTCTGACGGGGAGGGTAATATTTACTTTTCTTTGAAATACTTTGAGTTCATGTCTTATTTTACTTATAAAGAAGATGATTATGGGCACTGATAATAGATGCCCTGTTACAATGACCCCTACTCTGACTCTAGTTTTGAAGTGTATTACAGAGAGAATGTGCCACTAAGGTGGTAATCCGGTTTGTGCTGGGAATTTCAAAATATCAGTTACGACGTCTTTTTGTTGGCTCACGTTTGTTGTCTTCATATGGCAGAGAACATCGTGCTCTGGACTCCTTGCCAGGCCACGTGCACTGTCTTTCTCAGCAAGAGTGACTGGAATGTGAAGAAATCGATCCCTTTCCCTCTTTCGTAACCGGGGGTTTTAAAGTTTCAGGATTACAGCTGCCACGTGAAACATCCCCAGCCTTGGGAGCATGCTTGTGCATGATCTAAATGGACTCTAACATACTGCCGAGTGCCATTTGGACTCTGCTTAGTTCGTACCTGTCTCTCCTTTTTATTACTCATGTGAAATTGATTTGACAGACGTTCACACTGATCCCTGGTTCATTAGAAAGTCATTAATTTTGCAAAGGGGATGTTTATGGCTATAAGCACCACCTATCGAGGGCTGTCAAGATAAATTGACCAAACTACTGCTGTTTAACTGCCCTGGGAGTGTGGCAGGACTATGACAAAACCGAATGCATGGCATTTCTCTAAATGATTAGGAAAAGCATCTATAGGAATAATCAAATTGAGCCCTAAATGAGATCTGTGGCTCAGACATCAAAGCAATTAAATTATTACCATCCCAAGGCATCTTTCATAAATTAGGTTCCCAAACAGAATTTATCTAAAAGAGTACTCTTCACTGGACATCCTCCTGGAGAGCTGCATGTACATGGGGCTGCTTGAATAACTATTGCCCAGGGTAGACTAATTCTGCAGCCTGTTCCTCCAAGTAATCCAGGGAATTGGGCTCATCGGAGCTCAAGCTGAGCAGCGAAATAGCGAGCGGTTTCCTGTTGTTCTGAGAGATTTGCGAGATGTCACTTGTACGATTACCAGGTCAAACTGGGTTTAAAAGGTCATTCAGTTTTGCTCTCATACAAGGCTGGCTGCCCTACAGGGCAGCGCTGTGCTACCTCAGCGAAGCCTAGAGGATTTCTCTTGTGTGTTGGGATCCTCCTCATAGTTGCCCCTATACTAGGCATAGTTGGGATGGGTGTCCTCTTGCTGAAATGCCTCCTTGGAGTGGCAGGCAGCTGTGTAATTTCATTCCTAAGTGCACATGTGCAATCCTTTCTTTAATTTGTGTGCATGTATAAAGTTTCTGAAGCCAGTGATCAATTTTCTTTGGCTGCCTGGGGTGACTCCTCAAGACCCCTATTCTTTGGTCTATTTTCCTAGTTGACCACCACTTCTTTTGTTGGGTCTAGAGACAGAGTTCTTGAGTGCTCCTTTCACTGCTTACAATATTTACAGGGGAAAGCTGTACTCTGATCTCAAAGGCAGCTCTTCCAATCATTTCTTATGGAATTTAGCCTTCCTTAGACTGGTGCAAATTTGCCTCTGAGTGGGTGTTTGTAGTTCAGGCCTGATCTTCAAACCATAATTGACACCATCAGTCCCACTGACTTTAACAGGGCATGGGTAAGGACTTGCAGAATGAGACCCTTAAGCGTGCTTTCATATTGGAAGAATGCTGCGCTTGAGTCATTTCCTTGCAGTAGCAGGGGCTGTACAACCACCCCGTGCGGTGGATTTTGGAAACTGCGCTTCTCAGACTTCAGGCACATTCTGACTTGGGGATGTCGTCAAGCTGTGAGCTCTGTTATGCCCCCAGTTCCAAGGCTATGTTAATCTCTTCTCAAAACTGAAATAGGTTGGCATAACCTATGCAAAGAGAAGTGGAAAGCTGTCTCGTGCTTTCAGCCTGTGCCCTGCCCACAGCCAAGCAACCTTCTCCTACTTGTTTTCCGATTTAAAGCCTGAGCATGAAGCTTAATGAAAATGATAGTCTAAAATGATTATAGTCAGCCCCTGGCCATGTGCGGGCCAGATACTTACTTACTCCCAGAATTCTCTGAGTGGATGATTTTAGCAACAATAACGTGTGCAAGAAGGCTCAGCTCAGTAGCACCTGATATGGGGTGATGTAATGCTTCTGCCTCTTACAGGACATTAATATTAGAAACAACATTAAGTGAGGCTAAGTTTTTGGTGCTTGCTCCTGGCATTACAGAACCAGCTTTCATTTGCACGTCTTTCACTTCAGATATATGCTACATATTAATTCATCCCTGCAGTCAATGCAGTGGTTCCCATTCTGGCCACTTCTGCTCCTCATTCCTTCCTCTCATGCTTATGCCACAGTTGCTTTATTGATTTGTGGGCATCTTAGATTAGCTTTAAAAATTCCTGTGAAGAAGTCCAATAAGTCAGCCAACTTATCTTTTGCATACGTGTTATTTAAAAATGTTACTGTTGTACACGCTGTATAATAGTTTGAATTTATAGTAACTATCACAAGTTTAAACCATAAATAAATATTTGACAGGACTAGACCTTGCTTTTCCTTGCTCTCAGGCCTTAACACAGTGCCTCTTGTTAACCATTACCAACCAGAAGAGTCCCCAATCCAAATAACTATTTGGTTGGCTCTCCTCTTCAGAAGATGGATGCTTTTATATAACAGCCCCACAGCATAATGTCAGAGTTGCTGCACAGACCTTCTCTGGCTCTCACCCACTAGACTGATGTTTTGTATTGGGTATTTCAAAATGTTTGTGAAGAGAAATATTTTAAATGCCTCCCTACATAACTTCCTCTATCTTATTTTCAGCCATCTGCTAAGCCCCTCTTTTTTCCTGAAGTTTGCTCCAAACTGCGTCGGTAAGATATAAGATTTATTCCGTTTTTGACTATTTGCCAAAAGCATTAATTTTTTCCTGCTTTAATTAACTGTGGCAGTAGCAAGAACATAGGAAAAGCATTAATAAAAAAAAAAGCATGTTTAATTTGGATTTATTATGCAGGCTTTCTGGTTAATTTGATCAGTGTTTATTTGCATATGCAGAGTCAGAGCCCAGGCTGCAGCGCAGCTGCATCCTCCACACCCTGTTCTGGTCTTGCATGGAGCTTGGAAAGGTGGCCTGAATTCAGTCAAGATGCCAGAGGGGATGGTCCCTTAATATAATATGGAGCATCCTGTTATAGCCAGAAACATATAAACCACTGGAAACTATCAAAGCGCAGAGATATTCTAGCCAGACAGTCACTATATTAGTATGAAACTACTGTGGGAACTTCAGGTTTCTGGCGGTTTTGAACTGACAGTTCAGAGGACACTGCCAAACCCATCTGGTTCAAATTCGCCAACCTTACACATGCAGGTAACTGCACAGTATAAGTGGGAACTTTGTTATCGGTAAGGGTGCGGTATGGTGCGTTAGACTGGGCCCTAAATCAATTTACTTTTGTAAGCAGATTTACATGCAGCTCTGTGCATTTAGATGCAAGGTTCTGATTTGATTCCACACTTCAGTCCAAATGCTTTGAAAAAGATGCACGTGGGGAAAAAACCCCATTAAAGCCTCGTACGGTTCTGAGAAAGTTAATAGCTCACTGTTTGAAGGGATCAACAAACTGAGCAAAAAAGGTGCGTGTAGTATATGAACCACAGGATTGGAAACAAAGAGATCTATCTGCTATAAAGTAGGGTTATGGGATAAAACTGTTCACTCACAGAATAATTGGAGTAGGTAGTAAAATGTTACACTTCCAGTCACAGAACTTCTCAAATTCGGCCCTAATCATTGCAGCCTGATCAACTTATTGTATATTTGTTCATATATCTCTGTGTCTTTGTCTTTTCTTTGACTAAAATACTTATTTAATTGCATTCTTGCATGTTTCTGTTTGGT